GAGCTCGTAGACCGAGCTGGGGAAAGGGTTTGAGGGGGTGTTTCCCCTCCCAAATGAGATTTTTTTAAGAATAGCAACCTCTGGATGGCTGGAAATGGCACTCTCAGACTGCGACGGACTTGTGTAGGCTTGGTGTGGGACTATTTTTATATGTTTTATGGTCTGACTGCCCGGCGAGCTGGTCCCGCCACTGGCCATACCCAGCCATCACTCCCCATAAACCATCATCTCGAAGGATGAAATTTATGTAGGAAAGCATGAACGACAATAAGAAGAGTGTGTATGTAAGCACAAATCATTTTGATGTAAACCTAGCATCGAATTGTCTGTTTATGGTAAATATATTCCAGTCTATTATTTATGCATCTGTCAACTTATAAATATAAAATTTACACATTTCAAAAACTGATTTTAATTTGTTATCTTTATTGCAGACAGTATGCAGTAAATTAAGTTCAATTAAACACGTAACTAAATTTTAAAAAAAGTACTTACTTCTCTGAACTCCCTCACAATGTCATAGATCTGTTTACCTCCAAACGTAACTTCTGGGAGATATTTTTCCATATCCAGACATCTTGCAACCTTTGACTTGTCTGCAATACTAAGGCACATACACAAAAATAAGATGTATACAATAATTTGTAGCTACTGTATTTGTAATAAAAACCATTATCAATTTAATTTAAAGATGTACTATCTGTCATGAGCTAAAGAAAAATATATAAAAATTCAATTCCATATTTTAATTGCCTAATTTGTATTTTATTTAAGCTATTAAAAAATATCTGTCAATCAATTAACAGTTAAATAATACTACATTTTGTATGTATAATTTACCACAGACCCTTAGTTGGCTGGTAATCTATTCAATATTATATACACAGTACAGTACTTAAAACTTTTAAATTGTTTTTTTGGTTTTTTTTTTTTTCCAAGTTGGGTCTGTGCGCAATCCTTGTAGTTCAGTGCTTTGTAACTACTAAATGAAATATGCACTGCAAGTGTAACAATCATTCTATTAAATTTAGTATACTTACAATCTGTAGAGCCGATCTAGATCAGAGTTTACCATGTTGTTCCAAGGAGAGTTGGAAAAAGTTAGAAATTCAATATCCTCAATAATCTACAAAGAAAATGTAAACAATCCATGATATAAAATCCTACTTGATGGATTGCATTATACTGTAGTACCATTTTGTTCTGCAATGAATTTCAGTGACTTCAGGATTAGGTCTGGAGGGAGAGGAGATTCATCCCAAACTAAAACACTACCTTCTTTTGCCAGCCTTTGCAACTGTCTAAATGAAGCAATTCCAGCCCAGCGGCATACCACACTCTTGCATCTGCCTTAGTGAGTGCCTCAGTCAGAGAGGAGAGCTACACTACTACAGAGTGTAGACTGTTAGTACTGTATTTTGTCAATTGGAGCTCCAAATTTTCAAAGCCATTAGGTAGTGCGTCTTATTAGCTTTAGTTGTTACATCTATATGGTTTCCCCACTTTATATATTGATTCAAAATAGTGTCAAGATATTGATTTCTTTTTTACATCGTCTTTAATTTTATAAATAGGAGAATTAACAGCAGGTTAAAAAGTCCATATAATGATTTCTTAGCGTTTAAACTCATGTGATTTCTGACTGACCAATCGCTAAGATCATTCAGTGCTACTTAAAGGGATTTTTCAAGGCATCAACACTTGACACAATAGCAAATGTCAAAGTATTGAATATTCAATATGCCTACTAAACAAATTCAAGCTCTGGTTACTAAAAGAACCACAATTTCTTGAACATTTTTTATGTTTGTTTATACCTGTTCAACATCTCCATAAGTGCTCCAATCGTATGTCAAAACCTCACTCGTCTCTGCCATCATTGGAAGAAACTGTTCTTTGTAAGCAGTTTCTAATGCATGGAGATACTCAGCTGGAATCTCCGGATAGTTATTCTAAAGTGTAGGAAAAAAACATATATATATTTTGTTATCTTTATTCACAAAAACAAAATAAACAAGACAACGATATTAAATCCATAGCAGCTAGTGGCTGAATTGGGGGATTCAATTTAGAATATGTCGTACATAAGATAGTAACATTTAAATACAAAATGATGTAAGTAAAAATAAAAAATATGTAAAAACCATCAAAGTACAGTTATGGTATCATGCAGCATCTAGTCCATAGCACTCTAAAATGTGGACTAATTCAATTATACTATAACAGTGAATAGCACCAAAAGACGTGGATTAATTCAATTATACTATAACATGCTGCATCCAGTCCATAGCACTATAACATATGGATTAATTCAATTAAACTATAACATGCTGCATCCAGTCCATAGCACTATAACATGTGGATTAATTTAATTAAACTATAACATGCTGCATGCAGTCCATAGCACTATAACATGCGGATTAATTCAATTAAACTATAACATGCTGCAGCCAGTCCATAGCACTATAACATGTGGATTAATTCAATTAAACTATAACATGTTGCATCCAGTCCATAGCACTATAACATGTGGATTAATTCAATTAAACTATAACATGCTGCATCCATAGCACTATACCATGTGGATTAATTCAATTAAACTATAACATGCTACCATAGCACTATACCATGTGGATTAATTCAATTAAACTATAACATGCTGCATCCAGTCCATAGCACTATAACATGTGGATTAATTCAATTAAACTATAACATGCTGCACCCAGTCCATAGCACTATAACATGTGGATTAATTCAATTAAACTATAACATGTTGCATCCAGTCCATAGCACTATAACATGTGGATTAATTCAATTAAACTATAACATGTTGCATCCATAGCACTATACCATGTGGATTAATTCAATTAAACTATAACATGCTACATCCAGTCCATAGCACTATACCATGTGGATTAATTCAATTAAACTATAACATGCTGCATCCAGTCCATAGCACTATACCATGTGGATTAATTCAATTAAACTATAACATGCTGCATCTAGTCCATAGCACTATACCATGCGGATTAATTCAATTAAACTATAACATGGTGTATCAAAGTCACACAATAAAGACATAGGGATGATTGTTTTCAATAGGCAAAGCATACTTTGTTCAACATTATTGAAGATATGTAAGTATGAAAGGCAACTGCTTACTCCTTCTCTTTCTTTCAAGCGCTTCTTTGCAACATCAACAGGCGTATCCAAGTAGATGACCAAGTGTGGTGGACGAAGACGATACAGTGAGATTCCTTTGATCTCGTTGTAAAAATCATAGCCTAAAATATAATAAAAAGATATATAGTTACATACCTCTTTTAATTTCAATGTTTTTAATTTGTCAAATTGTATTGTTACACAGCCTACATGCATTTATTACATTTGCAACTGAATAAGCCAGTTCATAGTTAGAACCGTGCATGAACATATTAATCGACATAAATACCATACACACAACATAGGTTATGTCAATTGACCTCAACTGACCTTTTAAATAGATTGTTACAAATATATTTTGGCCATAATCTACAGCTAGTTTAGTACAAACATCAGCACAAAGTACAGTTTTACAAAAAAATATATGAACACTAAAAAAGCACTTTCAATTAAATTGAATTTGCTAATACAGTGATCAAGGCCTAACTGTTAATAAATACAAATAGAGATTATTTTAATCTGCAAATACTGTAGCTTAATTAATTCAATGAAAAACACTTGTGTATAAATCTGCGTTTAAATTTATATATTTCAATTTATGTTTGTACAAAGTGGGTAATACAACTGAAGATGATCAATTTTAAATGCACAGACGGAAAAAGCAAATAAAAAACATAATATAAAAATGAGATTTAAATGGCATTTTTTAATATAAATAACAATTATGATATTATAATCATTGGAATAACATCAAATATTTTTGACAACGAGCATTGTTGTAACTTACATTCTTTCCTAAAGTAGCCCATTTTGTACATAGCTTCCATAAATACAAAGTCACTGTAGACTGAGCGGTCCATAACAATACCTTGGCCTGAAACAATTGGCAAGATGCCAAAATATTATGTAATACCCAAGTATTAAAATGCTATTAAAAGAAGTAGTGATGGTGTAGAGAAACAAAATTGATAAAATAAAATAATATATATTATTATTATTGTAAAACAATTGTAACTACAGTAAAACTCCTCCTTCGGGACACCCTTATTAAGGGGACTTTTTTTTTAGCCATGAATTGAGAGCAATGTATATTTACACTAAGGCCAACCCCTATTAAAAGGACACTTTTTTTGGTACCGAAGGTGTCCTCTTATTAGGGGTTCTACTGTATAAACAAATCCAAGAACAGAGTAGAACAGAAAAACCAAGCAACAATTATTCTACAATGTTGCAAAACAATTTTGATAACCTGTAAAATATTTCAAATGTACTGTACGTCTAAAGACAAACTTAAGTCACCCTTGCGACTCAACACAACTGACATAAGCTTTAGCTTAGAGAAATGTATTGCTAAATCTGTGTTTACCTGTATTGAAGAGATGTTCCAGCACATCTGAATACATCATGAATCTCACGCCGTACATCATCAACTGTAGTCGGAAAGAGTGTCCATCTTTTGCAAATGGGTCCTTGTAAAAATCTTCCATAGACACATTTCCTATCATTTAGAAAGAAAAATTAATTGTTAATATAAAGTTTGTGTTCAGTCTGTGTTGAAATAATATTTATCTAATTTTTGCTTCTTGCACAATAATTAAAAACTATTTGAAGTCTCTCTACTAAGTATATACTTATTATGATTTCACTTCCATGATGGTTTGATTGTGTAATCAAATTAATACAAAAAAACAGCATGCAGATCACATATTTTGAGGAGGGGGTTGTTAATGTACTGTACAGCCTAAATATTTATTTTGTTTAATTTAAGAAATGTGGTTCAATTACATGCCAAGCAGAAAAATACTGTATGCCATAATTCAGGACCAATGTGTGTACTACTTATGAATATTCTTGTTTATAAACTCACAATGACTAACATACTACCAAAGGCAATGCAAAAAGTGTCTATATATTGCTATGCATAATAATCAAAAAGTACATAATTTTGCAAGACTTAAACCTAACAGTTACCCATTTCTGATATAATTTCTTAACAATTATGAATAATTGAGGTTTAGCAACTGACCCATGAATTTCTTGTCAAACTTCTTGCCTTCACCAAGCAGCTTTTCATCAAGGTAATGTACATGTGCCTCCTTCATGTACTTCATGCCAAGTTTATCTGCTAACGATTTTGCTAGTTCAGATTTTCCGGATCCAATATTGCCATCAACAACAAATATCTTGCTACCTTCGTGAAACGTGTCATCAAATTTAAAGCCAGTAAAGAAGGTCCATACGGTTTCCCGCAGGCCGCGTACTGGTACTGCCTACATAACAAACAGAAGCAAAGGAATCGTAAATGTTTGGATCGTATGTGGGCTATGAAGATGTCTCCCAGTGATGAAAATTTATCAAGATCATAAAACACAATTTAATACTGTACCATGGATAAAGGTGAAGAAAATCAAACAAAGTGTCTTGCCAAAATAAAAAAATTACGGGGCATGTCCCAAATACTTGCGGCTGGCTTGGGGAATTTCCTGCAGGAAGGATGAAAATAATTAAATTCTAATCGAAATAATAAACAACCAGCAACTCAATTTTAAAGGCAATAATTATTGAGTATTGCATTCATTGCAATTGCGTATTTGTTTTATTTATTTTTAATAAAAACTGAAAACGTTAATCAGTACAGTACCTACAATTTTAAAAATTCAATCAAATGCAGCTTGTGTAAAGCAAAAACATTAGAGCTTCCAGGGACTTTGAGAGAGGAAGAGGAGCGTGCCATACCACTTGGCAAGTAACTCTAGTACCAGGATATACGCAGTTAAGTTGTTTACACTTTAAGGAGCTAGGGTGCACTTAGCACAAGATTGGAGTTTCGATTATGCATTAGTGTGGTGTTTTTTTAAACTTATTTTTATCTTATTTGTATTCTTTTCATCATGTATTATTCATTTGTTATATTTTTAACTGACAAAAGTAAATGAATGCCTGCACTGATATTTTTTGGATTTCATATCACTGTATACAAGAGATATAAAAAATAAATCATATAAAATTAGTTGTCCAAAATCTGTGTGCATATAAAATATGACCACAACGATAAGGTCGCCAAAGTCCCAACTGTAACTCAGGCCTCAGTTGGCACTTCAGATCAAAGGACCAAGTAATTATCATGCACAGTGGCCTGTCATTACCTATAGCTACACCGCTGCCTCCTCCTCATCATTATTAATTTTCCATATTGAGATAGGGAAAAACTAAGAAGCAAGTGTATTCATTCATAGACGTCTCAGAATGAAGGAAAGTGTATTTCCATACATCTAGAAAAAGTAATACTTTCCAAAGGATGACCCCCCACCCCCTCTTAAAATTTGTGTTCCAGCAACAGAGCAACCGCAAATTAGACCTACTGTAGGCCTATGCTCTCTTCTCACGACCCCACCCACCTTGGGACCCCATCTGAGAAATAGTCATGCTAAACTCTGGATCCGCGTCTGAACTTGTTATGATTTAATATGGTGAGTGAGACGTCCGGGCCTAGGCCCTAGCTTAGCTAGAATGCCCTAGCCTAGCCTAGCCGGGCCTAGCCTCTGGCTCTAGGCCTACAACCACAGAAATAAAAAATTTATTCCATAAAATTGTTATTTTTTTTTTTTTTTAACTGTTGTTACCTTCTTCCCTAGACCCTAAACCTAGGCTAGGCCGTGTCTTTAGTCCTCTAGCCTGCAATGTATTGGAATGCTATCATGCTGGGGTCCAGGGCCTAACCTAAGCCTAGTCCTAGGCCTACTTACAAACACCGGTTCCATCGGCGGCCGGCTGATGATAGCTCTCTTGGCTTTCCCGGCAATAATGTAACCTTGGCCGGCCTGTCGGCCAGGTCGAAGCATTGCAAAACCTAACCTACGTATTGCCGAAGTAGCCATAATGTGTTCCTCTAAAACCGATGAACTATAATTTAATTCACCGTGTAATTATTATCAAAAAACGATATTTTTACAAGCAATTCAAACAGATATAATAACTGGGCCTCGAGGACCTAAAAGTTAAAACGATGCGGCGCTAGCGGTTCCCAGAGGCAGGGTTGCCAGATAGCCGAGGATCGGAGAGGAGGCTTCTCTGCCAAACACACGCCATCTCACGGCCAAATTCGGCCAAACTTTTTTTCGATATTGGCCAAAATTCGGCCATTAGAAGACAACAGTGGATACATAATATTCATTTAAAATACAAACATTACACGAAAAATCAACTGTCATTTGTTTGAAATTGGAGAAATTAAAATGATATACACAGAAAAATGTTAATCTTTCACAAATAAATGTTAACTATGATAGGTCCATATATTTTTTTTGTTATTTCTTGATGTTATACTCTTTATAATTTTGTATATTGTGTGTTTATATGTATTAATTTTTTTTTGCAGGGTTACATATTTAAAGCATTCTTCTTGCTTATTTCGTAACCTATTCCTTTATCCACTACCTTTGTATTTCTTTTGCTGATAATTGTATTGTTTGATATTGGAATAAATTATTATTGAATTGAATTGAATTGTTTTTATTAATCACCATAATTAAATGCCCAGCTAGCTACATCATAATATTAAATATGTTCTATAATTAGTTGCTAGCATGTAGGCCTATATAAAGTCACATTATTAAGATCGATCTAAATTTGATTTAAATGTATTAAATACCATACATTGTAGTCGATCTATAGCAATAATTTTAAGGGCCTGTTATAGAATCTCCAATGACAAATCTCTCTTTAATTATAATGAAAGTTACATTAGTAAAAACACAAGCCGAAGTTAAAACAAACCTATGAAAACTTTAATAAATACTTTTTATCTAAAACTTTCTAAATTCGCCTCGGAATGATATTTTTGCAGTATACGGTACTTAAAACAATAAATCAATGTCGCTATCAGAACTTCCTTCTTCATGATTTTCATATACAACCTAACTCCAGAGTAACTTCGAAGAAGTCTCAGCAACACTTGCTTGAAATTGGATTTGACATTGGACACGAATGATCACATCGAGCATTTTATGGCACTTCACATAAAGAACACTGCAGCGCCTATACAAGTTTATTAAATTTTTTTCAATTCTCAACCAAAAGAGATATAGTCCTAAACCTCCACTAGGTTGGAACGTAATTAGGGCCTATACAAAGGACACAACATATGGTACAAACTTGCAATAAACTGTCTTCATAAAGTTTTAAACGAGGGTAAACTTCATAAAAAAAAATATATATATTTCATCCGAACATTTTAAATTATTAAATGTAACTGCTAATCTTTTAAATCTATTTTATTTATTTATTTAAAACATCTTTAGGCAGGATAACATATACAGGCGAGATTTTACCGCTGTTTTACAATATGGTCCTGCAAACACATATTACAATAACAACAACAAAAGTAACCATCATCACAGTACAACAAAATAAACAACAGTTAAAACTTTGGTGGAAAACTATCCCCCGCCGGACACCAACCCGGTATTTCTGAGTCAAGGTTTCGGGGCCAGGAATTACAGCTCAAGGTTATGCTTAACTACAACTTAACTACAATATGGTAAAAACTATCCCCCGCCGGACACCAACCCGGTATGTCTGAGTCAAGGTTTCGGGGCCGGGATTACCAGGTAGGACAAATACTGTATAATTACTTAAATAGATAAAAATGGTAGAAAATATCCCCCGCCAGACACCATCCCAGTATTTTCTGAGTCAAGGTTTCGGACTGTCACAACTTTTATCTTAATTACAAACCTAACTAAACAATGGTAAAATCTATCCGCCCCCCTCCCCCGGACACCATCCCGGTAATTTCGGGGCCGGGATTAAATTAGTTTTATTTAATTTTCGAATATGGTCATTCCAGGTAAGGTTTTCATCAATTTGAAGTCCTAAATAACGGATGCTTTTTACCTCATCAATGGTTTCATTACCAACATGAATATTCAAAGAGGAAAGATTGCGAACATTTCTATTTTTAATTAACATAAGTTTGGTTTTGGTAGAATTTAAAAGTAATTTATTAAATTTATACCAATTTGCGACATTATTCATTATTGGTTGTAATTTGATATTGATTTCATTATTGATTGTAATTTGATATTGATATTTTCTACCGATTTGTCAGTAGTGTAGATGACAACATCATCCGCATATATGCTACATGATCCTGGAGATACATATTGTGGAAGGTCATTAATAAATAATGAAAATAAGATTGGTCCTAACACACTACCCTGTGCCAATTTCAACATTTGCTTTTTCAGATAATTTATTATGACATTTGACTACTTGTTTGCGCTGTGAACTTTTAAACCATTTTATTTCAGTGTCTTTAATGCCATAATTTTCTAATTTAGTTAGGAGAAGAGTATGATCAATTGAGTCAAAGCATTTAGATATGTCGAGAAAACAGGCTCCAATCATTTCATGGTCATTCAAAGTTTCCATCCATTCATCTATAACTCGATGAATGCAAGTGATGGTGGAGTGGTATTTTCTGAAGGCATATTGATCTACACTTATGAGATCATTTTCGTTTAGATAACTAACTAATTGATTTTGAATTTCTCTTTCAACAATTTTTGAGATATGGCAAACCACGGAGATGGGTCTAAAGTTAGTCATCGTCTGCTTACATCCACTACCTTTATAGATAGGTGTTGTTTTTGCGAGTTTCCAATCCTCAGGAACAATACCCAGCCTAATAGACAAATTTATTATAGAGGAAAGAGATTTTGCAATATATTGGGAGGCAACCCTAAGCAATTTTGAATCAAAATTCAGAATATCCAAATTACTGCTTTCAGACAGACCTGAAAGGGCATTTTCAATATTTTCAAATGTTACCATGTTAAAATTTAATTTGTGGATACATAAAGGATGTTTCCATTCAGGAGTAGTAGTACTTTCAAAAGATTTCGAAATTTCCTTTCCAATATTTGAGAAAAAATTATTAAAGCTTTCACAATTTAGGTCAGGTTGGACACTATTTCTATTTGAATCCTTCCCTATAGTTCTGCTTAGTTCCTCCCATAATTTTTTTGAGTTATTTTTGTATTTGTTTTCAACCTTATCAAAGTAATTTGATTTTGCTTTCCGAATTTTGCTTGTTACTAAGTTTCGTAGTTTCCGATATTTGTTCAAATTGATATCACTCCCATATTTATCAGAAAGATGCTTTTCATGGTCTCTTTCATACATAAGTTGTATTATATCTGGGCTCATCCACGGAGTGAAACGATCTTTAACACGCATTGTCTTTAAAGGAGCATGTTTATTACATATATTTAAGAAGGAATCCCTCTATTTATTCCAGTATACATCAATATCACTATAATTATTATTACTATTTGACAGAATATAAACATTCCACAAGCATATTTTCATTATGTTTGTTAGGGATTTCAACCCATATAGCTTCCATGTTAGAAAGGGTGTTAAGGTCATTTCTTTCAATATAAGGAATTTCTTCTTTAATATATAAACATACTCCACCACCTCTATTTTTCTTTCCATTAATAATATTATTTTCCCTATCTCTTCTAATTTTATTATAACCATCTATGTTTACAAGAATATCAATAACATCAGCACTTAACCAGGTTTCAGAGATACATAATACATCAAGTTTGGTTTTTAAAAGTAGAAAACTTATTTCATCAACCTTATTTATTAGACTTCTAACATTAGTATGACCAACTGTAAAACCATCGCTATGTTTTAATAGGTTCAGCTAGGCTTGTCTTGACTTGAACTAAATTTACCAAGGTAGGCAGTGGAAGGGCTCAGTGAGCACAACAGGGAGCCAATTAAAATGAAATGTTCTGGGCTAGAGTGACAGCTAAAATAGTAGTCACAATGATCACCGGCTTGTAAATCAGTAACTCCAAAAAAATTTGGATGAAAAGAACCGCAAATAGGTAAAACCACAATAACTTCGAAAAGACAAACAGTAATTACTAGAAATATCAGTAATAATGAAATTTAGTAACGATATGCTAGTGCACGAAGTGACGATGCGATAGTTGGGATAACGTTATATATATAATAATATGTAATAATATTTATATATAATAATATTTATATATATAAATAAACTCCTTTACGTCAACTTGGCCCAAAGTAGAGGGGTGGGGGAGAATACATTAAGCGTTTAGTGTGAGTACGAATACGAACGTTCAATGTAAAATAAATGTACACGATTAGAATCAAAGCTTTTGTACAAACAGGCCGTATAGCCACGAGAATTGAAGTGGTCAGGTTGTGAACTAAGCGCGAGTACTGATGATTGGGGCTAGGGGGACGCCAAGGGGTTCAGGGTTCCGGGGCCATTAAACGATTAAATTGTAATATTATTGTAAACCATTAAACTGTAATATTATTAAAAGCCATTAAACTGTAATATTATTAAAAATTAAAAGACCAATCAACACATGACATAAAACATTTACATATCAAAATTATTATGTTTAATCTTTCCTCGTCGGTGCTTGCATAAAACATGATTTGGATCTAACATGTCTATAATGATATTGGTAAACAATCGAAATTCTCTGTACAATGTTAAACATTTACAGTGGACTTCCTTATGTTGTGGTTATATTAGACTGTAATATTATTATTAAAGAAGTCCATTCAAGAAACAACATAAAACATATACATATCAAAGTTATTAAGTTAAAGTTCTCATGTCGGTGCATGCATAAACGTAATTTCATAAAATTTTGATATCTGAGATTGACAGACAAAATCTCTATACTATACTAATCTAACGAGTGGACTTCCTTGATTTAAAGAAATATACATATTGAGATACGTAAAGTTTAGAAGGTTAGAAGTTTAAAGGAGATGACTTCCTCATGTTGTAGCCATATTGAACTGTAATATCATTAAAAAACCACAACACATAACACATATAAAAATTATTAAGTCAAACTTTCTACTTCGGTGCATGAATATAACGTAATTTTGAGATATATGAGATTTACATAACATTTGAGAGTGTACTGAATATAAAATCTTAAATATACATTTTAATCAGCAATTAGAAATACAGGGATTGGTTATACTGTAAAGCC